AGGCTCCTGGAGGCAAGGGAGAGAAGAAAACGCCTCGTGACAGCTAGGGCCGAACCTCGTAATAGGCAAATTCTAGAGAGTCACTGGAAGTGGGTCTGACTTCAAATTGTACACCCCACTCAACAGGCAAGGAAAAAAAAAAACAGTTACATGCAGCACAGATTATTTCTAGCACATATAAGAAAAAAACAAAATCAACACGTCAACTATTTCCGCCAAACGGAATACCTACAGGGGTTGTGCCATTTCCTTCATTTTACTTCCCTGTAAAAAAACAAGGAAACCAAAGACGGGTGTGTAGGAAGATGTATTAAACTGACTTGAGATTTTAAGCAAGACTCTTCTGCCTGAATTTCAGCCTATGACATTACCTTTATTTTTTAATCCTGTAAGATGATGAAAGCATAAAATCCTGCCAGAATGCTGAATTCACAATCTGTCAACTAATACACAAACTCTACAGAAGAACAAACAACCTGAGAATTGAGTTTGTGCTGAATTAATTTTGAGACAATATTATAAGTCTGGGAACACCTTCTGAACAGTTACAACTCACACACATGAAACAAAACTAAAAAATAATCAAAAGGTTGAATTTCTGAAAGCCTTTTTTTGACAACCCAGGAGGAACATGAAATTTAAGACTCAAATCTGCTATAATAGGGCTGATAATTTGGAAATAACTATCCATAAGGCAGGAAAAAAGTCATACAATACATATAAAAAAGCAGCTATTGCCCAAAGTTGAAACTCCAAATAAAACTATTTCCATTTGCTAACACTGCAGTTCTAGAGTTACGCATCCACTTTCTGCAGGACTGCAACCACCTCCCTGATCAAGACCATATTCTGAAAGTGTGGGAACTAGATGAAAGTGGGAACTACTTCCTTTCTTAGAGATAACAGGTGTAAACGTTTTTTGTTCTTTTTTTTGTCTGTGACTTATTAGAAAGAGTTTTTCACAAGTGTGCTCTGGATCAAAGGGCTTTATTCTCTCCTTTATTGTCCCCAAGCAATAACCAAACGTTTAATAAAAAGCACCTACTAATGCTGTAAGCATCTCTGGTCAAGCAAGGCTTTCCCTAGAACTAAACAGCTTTAATTTGTTTAAGAATATATAAAATTAAGCTTTAAAATTGCCTATGCAGTTATCAGTTTTCTGAACACAAATTCCTTTCTTTCTGGCTTATTCTCCTCAGTCGCTGTGTGGTGGCCACTTTACAGGACTGTTTAGTCTCTTCCTAGACTATAAGACCTCATGTTTCTTAGGTTAAATAGAAAAACATCAAAATAAAATGAACACTTATTAATTTGACTTCCTTAAATGTCAATATTCAAGAAATCAAGGTTGGCCACAATTCCTGCACAAATTCTCATATGTCTGTTAGCACTGACTGTATGAGCATCAGGTTCCAAAGAAATTTTGCTAGAAGAGGAGGAAATAAGGCAGCTTGAAAAAGATCTGGTGACTTTATCCAGTGCTGCTTTTGCAAACAGCTGTTTTCCATTTTTTTGAAGGGCGAGACATCAGTGGAGAAGGAAGTTCCTCAAAGAGAAGCAGATTCAGAAGCAACAGATGTTGCAAGAAGATGCTTCACTGCAAAAGGTGCACAACATGACCTCGTTTTGCTTCAGCTCCGAGGAATTTTTAACTTAACATAGTACTATGAGACTCCACTAGAAAAAGGTCTTATTACACAGCCACATTTAAAATGGGACTCAGCTAGCACTCTGCAATGGAGGCAGGAGAGCACGAGAGCAGTGCGGCTTTGCCTGCTTTAGCCAGCCTGTACTTGAAGGTAACAATGCTACAAGAACAGTTGCTCTGTGCCTGCTGGCCTCAGCGCCAGGGAATGGGCCCGAACACACTTAACTTACTAGAACAGACAGGGCCTCTCATTCCAAGTACCACAGGTCTACTAGGTTTGTTCTCTGCATGTTATTTAGGAGTGTGCAATTCTCTTTTGGGTAGGGGTTTTGAAAACCACAGTAACGGGCATATATTTGGAATGTCCAACCCAGACACAGTTTGCTGATATAAGGTTACAGGAAAACAGTCTATCACGTCCAAGACTTAGTAAAACAAAAAACAACTAAGCACCTAGTGAGCAATTCTTCTAATTTCAACCAAATAAACAGGCATATTTATATGCAAATGTCAGAAGAAACAAAAACAAAACCCCACAGTGTAAGCAAATCCAGTCTATTCACATGAATATCCAAGCACACTAAATGAAAGGAAGGGTCCAAAGGTGAAATATCATTTATGTTGAATAAGCTCCCACCTTAAAGAGCATACTGTTAGCCTGCTGTTACATACCTAACACAACACCTACTTTTACAAGTGATATGTGAAAGTTGCCAGAGGACTGTGAACTTGTAAAGTCTCATCTCTGTTCTACGTGAACTGTCAGAAAGTGCAAAGCAGGGCATACGCGGCTGTCCTGCAGCTCCTTGGCCAAAAGCCAACACACTTCTGTAAAGGGTAACCACATCACCAACCTCCTGTGCTTTTGAAGAGTTAACAGGCTAACACGCACAAAAATGCTCGTGGATTTCTGAAGATGCTTTCGCAAAGGTCTCACAGCAAGTGCTCGGAGAGGGGCTAAGTAATGGGATACTATAGCAAGTCCTTGCACATAAAGCTTGAAGAGAGCCTGGAAACGCTTGAAAAACAAACCAGAAGAAGGTATAGACAAACGGATGACCGTCTGCTCACAATGCTAAATTATTCTGGTGGCAAAGATGGAGGTCAGCTGCAAAACAAACAAACAAGAAAAGAAAAAAAAAAAAAAACAAACAAAAAAATACACAAAAAAGAAGAAAAATTTGAAACAACGGTGACTGGCTTGCCAGATATGTTTATATTGGATATGTTTATATTGGAAAAAAAAATCACAACATCACATGTAAAACAGTGGGTCTTGGTCTGATCTTTACTACTCAGGAAAAAAAAAAAAGCCTTGAGATGAGCATGGAGCCATCAGTGCTGTAGAGGTTAAAAAATGGGGAAAAAAAATAGTCCAGAAAAGCACAATAAGGGCATCAAAGCTACAGAAGATCTTTATTTTAGGAGCAGTTACGTATTCATGGACTGAACAGAACAGGATAAAAATTCCTCACTATTTCTTCCAAGACATACACACAAAAGATAGAAGGGACTAAGAAGAGGAATTTCAGAGCAGCAAACAAACACAAGGCTGTGCTCCTCACAAAATACATGGTTCAGCTGTGGACATAGTTTCTGTGCTACAGGTTGATGTGAACACTACAAGTTGGCAAGAATAAAGACCAAGGAGGCAAATCCATTGAATCAAAGGTACACCTAGTATCATTTTTGTTACTTAAAAGTCCTTTAACTGGAAGCTACTGGATATGAAGCATCTTTACAGGATTGTCCTGCTCTTCTTGTACACTACCTGAAGCCATTTTTTCTCCCTGTTGGCCACCTTCAGGGAACAGATTTTGGGCCGTATGGACTTTTGACCTCACCTTGTAGAGCCTTTTTGGTGTTCTGATAATTAGAAATTGTTGTACAGAGACATATGCCACTTGCCTTAAGCCAAACTGCTATAACTGAGTATGAGAGCCCTTCACTACAGTGAGCTCACTAAATTCTGTTTCTTGCTTTCTGTATTGCCATCCCACAGAACAGTGAGACTACTTCACAAGGGCACCTGAGCCAAAGATACTGAAAGCGCCATTTGCTCATATTTGGTCATGAAGATCATTTTTCCCCTTAACACAATGAAGCAGGGGCTGAAGGAAAAAAAAGACTGTCTCAGATTATGGAATGAATTGTCCTGGAAAAATTTCATTCCACTCCATGAGCCATTTAATTTTCCTCACCTTCCTTAATGTACACAAACAGACGAATTCAGATATTTAAAAAAAAAAAAAAGAAAAAAAAAGAGGTTTATGTAAATTTCTCCCCCAGGAACAATGTGAAAGAATGAAACATAAGTCACTATCTACTGTGTCACAGCAAAGGCTCCTGAATTAAAGCTTTTGAGTCACTGTTGGTCTACAAAGATACGCTGAACAGCAGCTATAGTGAACAACCATATGAAGCAGTTCAGTACATGAATTAAACTATCGACAGTTCCATACGGCTCTTTGGATTTGTGAGAAAACCTGAGAACGGGTCACAGTTCTAGAAGTTTAGGAACACCCTCCATAATATGGTCATGTTGGCATGAATCTGTAAGCAGAAAACTAAACCTGCTTCTTCCCTCCTCAACTTTGTATTACTGTCCCTTAAGTTTCAGGACGTACGTTTAATAGTTTAATGATGGATATTTGTAATGCAAGAGTTATTTTCATATGATGTCACCTACCCAATAGTTCCTGGTAGTCTGCATAGAATAATAGCGCTTTAAATACAGTAACTTCTTTTCTTAATATTTATCATCTGTAAACCATTTAAAAATATTTTTATAGACCAAAAAAATGAATGTCCATGTACATCTATACTACCAACACTTTACAACACTTGCATCCAGACTGAGCCAGGCTAAGACAAGTCACACTTCACAATTATTTATTGTTTGATATCTATCCCTACGGATATCAACTAATATTTAATTGAAATGATAACTTATATTGACTACTACCGCAAGCACGCTGAACTACTTTTAGACAGCACGTGTGATGCCTACTCTGAAAGAAACTTACTTCTTTAACTCACACAGTACTTTACCTTAATAAACAAACAACATTTTCCAGAAAACACAAAATTAACAGTTATAAAAAACCACTTCTAAAAATAAGTTGATACGTTATTGTATACTTTAATGCAATTCATATCAGAAAGAAACTTTCTACGAAGTTATTAAAAGCCAAACTGATGAACAAGAAGTAATAAATTTAGAACAGGTGCTAACTTTTTTTTTATTATTACAAATACAAACTATCTGGTAAAATAGGATATTTTAAAAACTACACAGTAACTGTAAAAACAGGATTTATATAACCAATATATTAAAAAATAATATACATACTTGTCAGTGATACTTCTCCAAAGCTGTGCACCTGCAATTAGGGAAATGCAAGGTGAAACACATTGCACTGAAACAGATTACATTTCTTTCTTTCTTTCTTTGTCAGGACAAATTTTAGGACACAATGACTTAGGAAATCCCTGTAACAGTCACTTTCTACTTTCCTTATGAAGCTGTAATAGTCTTGCCACCTAGTGGTTGTCTGGAAGTGTGAAGCAATTGTATAAAATGCTCTACTTGGAAAATATGTTTTCTGGTTTTTGAAGCGGCACTTCACTGATCTCAGTTTGCTATTTTCTTAATTCATTAGCTAACTGTTCTTGTGAGTGCAATTTCATTGAAGGCAATACATTTAACTATAGTAAAATAATTATGCTCTAGACATAAAGCTAGGAAAATGCATGTTTATCTGACATTGTCTCTCTAATGAATTGTTATATAGTCATCTAGCAGTGGGAGCAAAACAGTCATGAACATAGGATGGTATTCTTGCACTTAGTTCAATCAATATTGGTCTGTCATGAATTTGGTCAAAGTAAGAAAATATATATAATGAAGAAGTAATTTAAATTAGAAAGGGATAAATAACTTTTGTAACTCACCAAATTCTAACTAGTGATGTATAAATCAGTTCTAATGTTGCACACAACACAGAGCCTAACATACAAACTTTGGCAAGCTTTTCAACTTGACTTCCAAGATTGCAGTGCTAGAGCAGCAAACAGAAAGGTAATGAAAAGGAAAATGAATTTTGTTTCAAAAAAGGTATAATAATAATAACTGCTTTAACTTAAAAGAGAACAACCACTTTAGTAATCAGAAACAGAGAGGAATACCCTCCATCTCTGACATCCATTTCCTGCTTCTGAACTACATTCTGGTAATTTTTCAAATACTTGCATGGACGTAAACATCAAACAAAAAACAAAACACATTAACAAAATAAAATCTTTCCTGACAATGAAAATTACAGACTGACAAACACCACTTCGCCAATGAAATTTCATGACATTAATGAAGTATAAGGAAAAAAAAAGAAACAAAAGGAAAGAACAACAACACTAAAACCTAGCCAGACTCAAAATTCTTTTCAGACTTGGCAGTATTCACATAAGGTTTTGTTTGTTTGTTTTTGTGTTTTGCTTTTATACAGTGGAAACTAAAAACTACATAGTCTATAAAAATGCTGTTCTCTGGATTATCCTCCTGCTAGAATAGGGAAATTCTCAAACCATTTAAAAAGCTGATGAATTTATATTTCGAATCCTAAACTTTCTAACAACAATGTAGCTGTTAGAAGAGGCATGGAAAAACTTTGTTTGGGAAAACTTTGCATTTTATAAAAAGTTCCTTTTCAGATTTGACAGTTCAGAGACAAGGATTAAGTGTTCACTAAAATTGAGTGTATTTATTGGTTCTGAAACAAATCTCTACGTTGTTTCTATAAAACATAGATCAATCGTCAGAAGTTCTCATATCATCTTAGAATTCAGCTGCTTGCAGCATGATACGTTAGACAGATCCTTATAAAATTAAAATGGATATAGTAGTATGTTCTGAATTACAAGTATTTAAGCAAGGAATTCTTATCAGTACAGTGCCTTACCTTTTATCCTAGATAATACCAAATCCTTTATGATCTGAAGAACTAGCACTCCAAGCATTATGAGAGATGTCAGATGATATACTCTCCAAGGTGTCAGTGCAACAAACCTAGAATATTAAAAAGAAAAAAACACTGAATAAGTTTAAACTTACTGGAAGTATATATTACCTATAATTGTTACTGGTACTGAAAATTAACATCAAGATATTTTTCTGTTTCTTTAACCGATTTTGGTTTCTCCCCTCTATGGTTTCACAGAAAGTCAGCACTCAGCAAGTGCAATAAGCATGACACAATCTCATGTATAAAATCTACAACTAAGTGTACACTGAATTTTTAGTAGATTTAATTTTTCACAAATTTTATACATCAGCACTTTTATCTAAACACAGAAGCAGTATGGAAAACAAACTATTTTAAATGTTCCATAAGGAACCTCAGTGTTCAATAACAAATCAATTGTTGTTTCATCAAGACATAGTGCCTGGAACATCAGCTCTCTTTTTTATATGCAGGACAAGAAAAGGTTAAATACTTCCTTTTTTTCCTCCTGCATGACCTGCGCTCTCACAAATTTTTATAAAAATAAAACCCAATTCTTTCAAAGGCAAGAATGAGATGCAACTGTATCATTCATGGTATAATACACAGGCCTTTTCTTCAAAAGAAACTTTTGTGAATTTTATTTTTTATTACAAAAAAAATTAAAACAGGTCAAGTCAAAGAGATCCAGAGTCACAATGTATGATTTACAATACCATGATTTAAAAACTCTGACTTTGGTGCCCAGATGTGTTTAGAGGTTAGCACTCCTTCCTGACAAATATCCCACAAAACAGGATTTACTGTGTAAAACATTTAAAATTCAAATAATAGAAAAAATATAGCTGAAATATTTTAATAGTTTGTTTCAAGTAGCTTAAGCCAGAGATGTTAATACAGACGAGGAGCATTCTTGGTATCTTTCTCAATGTGAAAGGAAAAGGATTAACATGTGGGTGCGCGTGTAACTGGAGAGATGCTAGAAACAACGGGAAGTCTCTGCCCATAAAAGTGGATTGATTGAAAATACAAACAGAAATGAAACCATACAAAGCTGACAGATTTCTAGGACACTGACTTGAAAATTAAGTTGGGGCAACTGGCCCCCAATCAGTTATTGCTGCAGTTTCTCTTTCCTCTTTTTAAAGTTTATTTTTCTGAATATGCAGTGCTTCTACATCTATGCAGAGTATGAATTAAGAGACTATTCTATCAAAAAACCTGTGCATTTTTGGCCAGCCCAAGAAAACCAACACAGACGTACAGGGAAAAATGATGTACAAGATAAGCTCTTTCGAAGCTGCTTAAGCATAGGACTCATTAAACCATAAGTCCTGTTTCTAACAGCTCTGGGTTTATGTTGTTCCACTGTTTTTTCACAGCAATATTCTTCTCCATTAAACATACGTGATTCTGCTTGAGGTTTAAGTTCAACTATATCAAATACAGTGTTTTAGCCTTCTCATTTAACCTGCTGACAGTGGGGTAAGGGGAAAGAGTTGACACTGCAGAGGAAAAAGTATCAAATGATCAAGAAAAGCTTTCGAATGACCTCTAGACACCAGAAGATTGTAACAAATTCAGGCCTTCAAGTTGTATACATACAGATGCATAAACATATTCTCTAGGTACTGGTATATTAATATTTTATAGAATCAAACAATATGTTCTAATTTAACAGTCACTACTGACTAGCACTCAACCGTGTGAAGGAAAACAGCAATTCTGAAGCGCGCACACACACACACACACACACACAAATTCTTTAAGGCAGTATCAGCTGTTTGTTATGAGGCTTTCACCTACACATCATGTGCATAGGCAGAACTTGTTTGACCTTGTTTAGGTTCTCAGGTAAATCACGTTCCTCGTTCCACTGCAATCACAGCTGTCACTTGGTGTTAAGAACAATTGCACTAATTCTGATGAGGATTAGCAAACAAGGATTAGGAGCATAACATCCCCTTTGAAAGATTCTTCTGATGTAAAGTCATGTCATTCTACATGATAAATTCTGCAATCTTCCTGTTTTTTGGAAAAAGAAGAAAAAATTATCTGTAATCTAGTGCAGTAGCCAAATAAGGGATCTGCAGTTATCCAGAGAGCTGTGGATTGTTTGGACTGGGCTTTCTGTGCTTTAGGATTATGAGATGTCCCAGTCCTGCCACTGTTTCTCCATGGTTTATTTAGACTGTACTGTTTGCAAGGAAGACCACCTCTCACAGAGTTATTCACAGTCCCAGTGTGCTGGCCTTCAGGTGCTTCTATAAGAGAGATTACAAAAATCTATTAAAAATATGTTGAGAGACGTATGTCAGACAGCTCTGTCCTTGTTCTCTTACTGGTCAGTGACTGATACTCTCTCATCGTAGCTTTTAGGCACATGTCTATCAACTTATCAAGAGTTTAAGTCAATACATGAAATCTGAACATCACATATGAACCTAGCAGAGTGGGGACTCTGAATTCTTATAGGAATTTTGAACATGAGGCATAGCAATTATCAGGCAAGGCAGTAAACAAGAACAGGGTGATGGGAGCAACAGAGACCTCAGTTTTGAGAGGTGGCACAAAGTTCATCTCAAGCATCCACACATGACTATGTGCAGCCTGGGAAAGCAACACGAGCAACAGAACTGCTCTATGCGGTGCCAAACTGCAGCGCTGGCCAACTGGGATTTGGTGGACAGCTTGTACGAGCGCAGCTCCATGACGGATGGCTACAAGCTGCTCAGGAAAGACGAGCATGAGGAGGCAGGGCTGCCCTTTAGGCGAAGAAGCTTGAATGTACAGAGCTCTTCTAGGAAGGGGTGGCAGTTGGTTGAGTCCTTACAGGTCAGCATCAGAGCAGAGGCCTCTGAAGAAGATCTGTAGCAGTGAGGGTGGAATAAAGTCTTCCTTGAACGACCTGAGCTAATCTTCTGATAACACACTCTCTTTCTTATGGGAGATTTAAGTCTCTTCTGCTCGAAGGGCAACACAGCAGGATGGCAGTAACTGAAGATTTCTAAAGAGTGACAAGTACAACTTCTGGGAGAGCCACAGGTAACGCTCTCCTCAATCTGCTGTTTACAACCAAGAAAGATCTTGTTGAGGACATGGCAATAAATGGCAGCTTTGGTTGCAGTGGCTTCGAATAATGGAGTTGAGGATCCTGAGATGGAGTTGAGGATCCTGAGATGAGAAGTGTCACAGAGCACAGATCCTGGATGTCTCGGATTTCTTTTTCAAGGCCCTGGCAGTTAGCAGTTCTGAAAGACAGGATCTCAGGAAAGCTGGCAAGTCTTTAAGGACAACCTTCTTTAAGCACAAGAATAAACCATCCTCCTGCCCAGAAAAGCGAGTGTATGTATCAAGTGACCAACCCAGCCCCTACTGATATTTTAGCATTAAGAAAATTAGCAGTCCCTACTTAATCACTTTAAGTGAATTAATACCTTCTTTTTCATTCATCACCAAACAGGTATCTTAGACACTTGCGCTGAACACATTACAGGAAGAGGCTTAAAGGAACCTCATGAAAATCAACACAAAGTTGAAGTCCTGCCCCTTGGCCAGACTAACTGCATCGACACAGGCTGGGGAGTTTCTGGGAGCAGAAAAGGTCATTTGCTTGACATGAGCGTGCACTAATGTTGCTGAAAGCTATCGCAGCACCCCAGGCTGCATCAACAGCAGTGATTACTACCTTGACTTAGCAGTCATGAAACTCTACCTAGAACACTGCATCTGTTTTGGGTTTGTGGGTACAGCACAGATGTTGATAATCTGGAGCAAATTGAGCAAATAACCACCAAGATGGCCAGGTACTGGAACATTAATAGCAGCTTCCCCAGGCACCAAGAAGACTGTGCCGAGTTTCCTACTGAACTCCACTCTGGAAAAGTAAGAAAAAAGAAGGGGGGATATGCCAACTTTTGACTGCTAGGATAATTCAGTAGTGGCATTGATTGCTCAGTAGAAGAACAGGTTGATCAAACGGTCAAAGTTCAAAGCAACCTCTTCTGGGTTGAGTATTGAGCCTGTTTTGCCTGGAAGTTGGACTACAGATGTCCTGAGGTCCCTTCCAACCTGAATTATACTTTGATTTTATGATTCTATTTCATTCTACTAGAAGTAGCTGGCAAAGCTTTTTCCTGTAAAATACTGAACTTAGCTCCTTAAGTCACAACAGTTTCTATTGCCGATTTTATTGCAGCTTGACCAAAACGATTTTAAAATGCACAAATAAGATTCAAGACTTTATGAATTTAACAATTAGAAGTCCAAAGGGAAATATGCCTTAAATATATAAAGGCCAACCCTCTCTACTGCATTTTTAAAATAAATATTGCATACAAATTAGAGATCAATGGAAAAGGAGTGCATCACTCAAACTCCACTGTAAACTACCCTATCTGCTCTTCAGCATTTCAGTCACCTCTCTTCGTAACTGCAGCTCATTACCCAGCACAGCATTTTCTTAAAGGTGGATGGAAAGAAAAGAGTCAACGCAGCTGAGATAACAATGGCAAAAACAAGACTGAAGAAAGTAGATCAACACATTAAAACTAAAGATTAGTCCTAATCTGCCTAATTTGCTCCCGGAGGTCACGTTCTCTCACATCACATCACCTAATGATAGAAACATTCCTCAAGCTACCTTGTCGTTCTTCAACTCATTACAGTATGGAACCTGTTGATACCTGGAAGATATATTAAACACCACCACAATCATCCTTTGGATCTCTTATGTTGGAAGGCAACGAGCTCCCAGCACAGAGCTCCTGCGAACATCACTGCACAAACCTGGCGTGCCGAGCTGCCCATGTGGCACAAGCAGGCTATAAGAATTTGAGGCAAACTCTGCAGCTACAGCTTGCCTTCTTTAAACACAACAAGCTCTTATATAGCACTGCATGAGCTACTTTTCATTGGCCTTGTGAAATACAGGGAAAGCAAGGACCTACTAAATTGCTTTGAAAGTTAAATATCGGAACAATCTGACAAGTTACCACCTTATTCTAGCTATGAGGTTATGTTTTTACACAATATTTTCTACAACTATGAATGGCTTCTGCTTTGCAAGCTCAAACCATAAAGAAATATTTTGTCAAGATTTAAATAATTAAGATTATTAGCAATCAGACAGTTATTTATGGAAAGCCTTAGAAGATACAGTTTTAATAACCATCTACCTGTATATATCAACTCCAAAGATAGCGGTCATAAATAAAATGGAGCAAATATCAACAGAGACTTGAAGAAACATGGAGCTCTGCTTCACTATCAGCTATCAGAACATAATTCACCAGCTGCATGAGCAACTTGTTGAGTTTGGTTCCATATTCAATTAACAACTATTCCCATCTTAAAACCAGAGCCCATTCAAAGTATTTTGTGATGTTTCAAATAGCACAAGGAGGTATATACTTGTTTCTGCATTTAACCCTAAGGTAAAAACCTGCTAAGAGCCTTCCAAACACAGTTTTCCATTTAAGCTGCTACTAATGGGTATTACGCTAAATCCAGTCAAATTTTGAAAAGTCTGTCCATTCCTGTTCTTGCAGGGAACTGCACAATTCTGTTTCAAAAAAGTGCCTGCAACAGTGGTATGCAGATAAAGAAAAAAATACAGCTGCACCTGTTTCCTGCGTGGGGATTAACACATCCACTCTTTTTGGCTTATTACTTTAGTGATCAGGACTGGATCAGTCTGGATGCACCAACCTCTGGTGCCCATCATAAGCATAAATATGAAATATTTATGCTTAAAATTTATATATATTCCATAAACATTAAAATGCAGTACTTATAAATATTAAAATCCACATGCCAACATTCATGCATTCCCTTTAATACTAAAGTTCCAAACTCAAGAATCTGCTATCTTTTCCTGTTGTCCCCTTAAGGTTTTCTGGCCTAAACTGAAAATTATTTAGAAACTTGCTCAAAAATTACTGTGCAAAAATACTTTCTGCATCCATGCACAAATATTTTAAATATCCAATTTATACAGAACAAGTTATGCATGCTTTAAAAATTTTTTTTTTTGCAAATAGCTCTTCCAAGAGTCACCTTTTGGCAAAATATGCTGTTCACACATGCGTTTATATGGCATCTAACTGTCAACCTGCATAAATATGCATATCTCAAAGACACCATAAACTGCACTACAAGTTTGTCTATTGCAGAAAGGGAAATATATTACACATAACAAGTTCTACTGTGAAATACTGTCATTTTTTTTAAATGAACAAAAACCTGACAGATTCTGAGAAACAGCCCAGCTTTTCTCTACAGTTTGTTATTATAAATCCTAGCAATTATAAAATTATTGCAAGGAAACACTAAGAATGTATACTTCACAACTCCCACTTCGAAATCACAGCGTGTTAATCCAGATTTTAAATATGCACACCACTACTTTCAGTGGTGCCTGGCAACTGCAGACAAACGCCATCTGTTTAACCAAAAACATGTGAATTACTGTAACGGAACGCTTCTTAACACATGTACTTTAAAAATGCTTTAAACTACTTCTCATTTAGTGGAACAAACTGTAAGCCTCTGTACAGATGTAAATTAGGAAGAAGGACTGCTTATGGCTTTCTCTAAGTATCAATCTATTCATCAGAGAACATAGGTATCTTAGATTTTAAATAAAATATTCCAACAGGAATGGGAGGAAGAAATGTAAAGTAGGTGATTTGTGTCTCATCAAAGGTATTTCAAAGATTCTCTTTAATTTAGCCTTTGTAAGGACAAAGACAATTCAGTCATCAACCTCTTATTCAAAGGTCTTATTTGTCAGATTTTATTCGAGAGATTAGGATCATATTTGTTCAGCCAGACAGCATGCATCAAACCCAACAGAACCAAGACAGTCGTTCTTTAGAAAACCTTCTAGAATTTATTAGAAATAAAGATACTGCAGTAATCAGTAACTCCCTTTTTTACAAATTTTACAAACTATTATTTTGACATGTAGAAGCAGTAGCTGTATGAAGTTTCTTTGTGCACAGGTTGCAGGGCAAGGGCAAAAGACAAATACCAGTTATACACTTCCAGGAAATTACATGATAATATTAACTAAAAATTAGTACCATATAAGAGAACAATTCAAATTGCATATTCTCTCCACTCTAACTACAAGAAGCAAAAGTTTTACTTCTTTTCCATAGATGTTTACATAAAAACGAAAATAGTAAAATTCTCTAAGCAAATATAATGAAATTTCAAAGTGCTCTGCATCAATCATTAGAGGAAAATTTGCTTACAAGTTTGTAAATATGGAAGCATATTGGTGTTTCGGGATCAAATCAGTAAGAAATGCTACACTGCAAAATTATCTTCCTCTGTTTATAAGGAAGTCTCCTGAGGAATGCAAGATTTTGAGCCACATGAGAACATTTATTACTTGCATATCAGATTTACTGTGACCTCCTGCATTCAGAGATGCACTGAAAATAAAAATTCAGAAAGTTTAAACGACGTATATGGCATCCCTTACTGAGTTTACCAAGACATGAAATACTACTATTACCTGCGTGTAAAAAAGGAAATATCTTCAAGAAAGCTATTTGTCTAAAACATGTCATAACATAAAAGAATTGGGCTTTTTTTTTTTTCGTAGAAACATGCCCAAATGCCCTTAATTAACCTGTACTCTGACAAAGCACTGACGAAACCTTAATCCCATTTTCTCATACAGTAGCAGCAGTTTGGAGTG